GTTTGTAAGTTTACACTAACACCTTATGGATCTTTGATGTCTGAAATAAATGATTATTATTATTATTACGTATTAAAAGTATTAATTTAATACTATCGTGAATCAGTTCCTCCACCGGAAAAATAGACGTGAGTGCTAGCCGTTTAATAATTAGTTATGTAGTTTGTCTGAATAACAGTGATTAGTTTTATAATTCATTTGCCAATTTAGTAGGGATGGGTTGTGTAAAATCAGGTGTGAATCTTTTTGATATTAGATTTTTACTCTCATAGAAGTTGGGATCGAAATATTCAAAATTCAGATAAATTTGTTAAGAATAATGCACAGAATTTTTTTTAAGATTGCTTATTTACTTCAGTACGCTGTACGCTAAACGCATCGTAATAGCAATAAACGTCTCCTAACGATACACCGATACCCCGTTTATTTGAACAGGTATGGAGTGATATTGCTTTTGTCTTACTCGCATATTATGATACGACGCATTGTGTGAAGGGCCGAAGACTCGTTTTTGGTTGGGTTCACTGAGAAATCGCTTGAACGTGTTTTACTGTATTTAAATGAAAACATTAGTAGGTTTTGTCCGTTGCAATAAAATTTTGAATATTATTTAATTTGTATTAGTTATGATATTACGTTGTCGAGTTGCTTGCATCTTAGCTAATTAATTCATATATTATAAAGGCCCAACACAATAATCGTTTCTCCATCTGATTTGAAAATCAGGGATAAAAACGGTGCTGCCACCTAGCCTATGTGCAAATAATCCGCTTTATGTGCTTCTTCTCCGTCGCTAAAGGGTAGGCAGCGCATCTACTATTACGAATGTCTATGGGCACCGGTCGCTTTGCCATTTTGGCAGTTCTAGATGGCGGCTAGCTCATTTGCGCCCTTATGATATTAATATAAAAAGCTTAGCTTAATTTTGAGAAGTTGCCTACATGTTGGTTGGTGCCAATTTGTATTGAGCATTGAAATAAAATGGACGTCATAGAAGTCATCGCAGTTTCTGCTATTTATAAATAGGGCATATATATATATATATAGTTAGGGCATACCAGAATAATGTAATTACGACAAACGAGCTGTATACACGTTGGCGCTTGCCGTCATTCGGCCAGCTACGTGAGAGACGGCTAGTGATAGCGAGGTAATGCAAATGCACTGTCTACACGTTAGTATTCACCATCGCTCGGCAAGCTTCGACAAACGTGTATAACGGGCGTTATATGATTAGATAGTACTCGTACGTACTATAAACGAATGGCCATTAGTTATCTTGTTCAATTGGACAGTTTCGTGCTGTCATGTACCGATATAGGAAAAGAATACACCTAACTTTACTAACATTCACAAAGCTGATTCTCGTATATGTATTTAGGGTGGCGAAAAAGTCTCCCAGGCAGTTAAATAGTTTGTGCGGCTCACAGCACTAAAATGTAAATAACAGCACTTTCCTTTTTTTGTTCCGATCTTGACGATTTGAGTGGCATGTCGCTTACATGCGGTCAAAAGGAATAAGTTGGTATTTAGGAGCTCTGTTCCAGAGTCACTTGACATGTCAACGCCGAGAATACCATTGCTGGCTGGGGTAACCAGGCGAGTGTTTTCAAGGTTGAAGTTAGCGACAAAGGATATTTTTTTGCGTAAAACGCGCAAAATTTGTGTAATTTTGGAGTTGAACTCCAACTTGACGGCTACCAGTTGGTTGTGAACGTAGGCGAATTAAGATTGGCATTGTTGTCTGAACAAGGCAGTGGTACGACGAGCCCAAGGAGGCATCTACGGACACCAGATAGCAGTCCGGATAAGAGGACAGTAGTAAGTCTAAGAAGGAAGGTACATGGCCCTCAACATCTGGGATATGCGTGGACGAGGTGATCAGCTGTGTCGGATCATATACTAATGCAAAGTCATGAACAGATTTCCCCGCGTGATCGATGGTACGTGAACCGAGGCATCCGGAATGATGGGCATTAAAATCGGAATCTTTGCCCATTTGGACTAGATACATGAGTTGATCTGTATCGGTATTTGTGCCTTGGGACATATAGAGATATGCGTATACTTGCAAATGGTCATGGCTATCTATGCGCAGCCACAGAACGGATAGGTCCCGGTCTTCAAGGTGGGGGGGAGGCGACGAGAGCAGATATCTTTTCGGACGCACACACAGACTTCAGCCCGTGGCAAAATGCAATGTATGAGCTTATACCCGGGGTAATGAAGGAAAGAAATATCCGCCGTAGAAGACAACGTAGAAAATAAGCTTGTAAGATAACCGTGTCTAAGACAAATAGTGTGGCAAGGGATATAAAACGGCGCTTACCACGTTTTGTTTATATCATAAGGTGGCAAACGAGCAAGCGGCCACCTGAATACGCCAAAATGGCGAAGCGAACGCTGCCCGACGACATTTGCAATAGGAGTTGCGTTGACTACCCTTAATCTACGGAAGTGTGGACGCACATGACGAGGATATATCCCTTTTTTATGCATCTCCTCCACCGTCAAATCCAAGTTCTCTTCTCATCCTTCTCTTGAAAGAAAAAGGGGGAAGGAAAAAGGATTAAATTTGGGCCTCTGGCACCACACTCATCGGACGAAACGCGGAATTGCTCTCACTTTATGCCCGTCTTCTGTATGGTCGTGGTATTACACCAGATGAGCCGGCCCATTCATACGAAGATGTTAAAGAGTGCTGTACCACAATGAACGACGTTTACGCCGACCAGCAGAAAGAGCGGGATTGCCAAAAAGGAGAATAATGGCAATGATAATTAAATAAAACTAAAGTGGTAAACTTAAAAAAGTTTAAATTAATGTGCGTTGTTTATTAATGCATTCTATGCTAGATCTAATGTTGCAGATCTCGGTGCAACTCGAAGAGGATTATTCTAGTTTTTATTTCATTTTTCGTCGCTATCTATTTTCGGCGAATATTTTATTTAAATATAAAGATCCCAACGATTTCAGAAACTCCTCGTTTTTTTGAAGTTCGTTAAAAAACACGTAGTTACAAAACGCTTACAATATTAATATTATGGAAATTTTATATGTAGCATAAGTTACCTTAAATAAGTGAACTGTAAATTTCCTTAAAGAAAATAAAAATTTCTTAAACCGCAAAGGACACTGGTTTTACTTTTAATTCAGTAGTCGTACTTAGGCACTAGCATTTTTTTAATTGTCGCTTGCTTTGGGTGGTAACTGTACAATATAATAAGATCCTAAAAAATTAAACTTTAAAAATTGTTAACTTTTTTTCTAGATTCCTAAATAGTTGCCATGAAATTGTTAACACGTATGTTTTGTTAATAAGTTTCTTATGAATTATAACATTCAAAAGGACAATACATATTACATAGCGTTAGAAATAGGTGCACATAAAACGTAGTTGGGACCGCCGCCTGCCACAGTGAGTTTGACAATCCGTAGAACTCGTACGTACCTATTATGGATCGTAAGCTCAGATTGTTTCGAATTCACGTCACTATAGACACCACAACTCATCGTTCACTTGCACAATTCATCACTACACTTTAACACTGTTCTAGGATGCTTATCCCACTGCAATCCAAATTACACTGCAATCCTTTAAACGCAGGCAGGTTGGTCAGTCGCGAGATCACTGTCTCGGCGGCGGCGGCACCCTAAATGTTGGTGCGACAACTAAGACGAACATGCTCGATGCTATATAGTAAATTGTTTAACCACAACATTGCAAGGATGAAGCGATGTGATTATGGAAATTGTAAATCTCTTAAAAATTCTTTTCAAAAACATTAATACAATTCGGGGTACTAATGTAAAAACACAATATGTAGTAGCAAAGATTGCCGTCAAAAGGCAAGTTAATCTATGGAAAATAATGTTAATATCTGCAAGTAGCATTTAATACACGCACATAAATAAACGGATAAGCCTACTGTCTTCAATTACATTATATGAATAGTCTATTTCCTGTTTGGTTAACATGATAGTTCACAAATTTGTACCTGATTGCAGAAGTAAAAATTTTACATTCGATGTTTTATGCACATTCTTAAAACATAATGTACAAAGATACAAAATGTTCTCAGTTAAAACTTTTCTTAAAACAGTTTGTTCGAAAATTTTACGTGAAATTCTAAACTGTCTAATATGACTAAGAGAATACATAACCAAATTTATCTCTTACAATTGTAACAATATAAGGCTTACGATAAAATTTTATTATAACTTTAAAACTGTAAGATTATTATGATATGGACTACAACATTAATTACAACAAAGAAATAAATAACACATTCATTACAAATAAGTAAAACAAAATATTATTGGTAAAAACATTTCACCGAAACGTTGGAAATACCGTTTGGTATAATAAAACAAACGATTTTATTAACCGAAGTCGATTTGTGGAAAAAGGCATTTAAATATGTGTTTTATCTTTGTCGATTTTAATTCGTAAAATGATACGTTTCCTTAATTTTTAACATAAACATAATACGCACTTAAATGCTCCATTCAGATTGCACATGCCCTGACGGCAAAAACGTATAACTTTTAGGAAGTCATTTAGAATGACGCTTACCTATCACAGCTTAGATTATGGTCAGCCCTGACGGCTCAGTAGCCGAAGCAGTAACCATAATACGCGGAGCACAATTGGCCAGTACTATTGGACATTTGCGACGGCCAGCCATAGATTGTATGGATTTACTGGCGTTTACACTATGCCAGTTCATTGCACTTGGAGATGATACTTTTATGTAGGTAACCCGTTGTGAAGATAGTACGTAGTAACAAACATCCATCTATCCAGAATCTAACAGAAGTACTAATAATTTCTATAATTAATAAAATAAGGAAAAAACATCTAAATAAATATTAAATACAGAAGAAATAATCCTAGCGTAGAATGTGCATAAATCATTATAAACGTTTATATTAATTTTAAGATACTGATACTTGCAGATAATCTAGGATCAATGGATGACAAATTATGTGGTACTTACGATAAATGGAAGCGTGCGATGGCAGCGGGCGCAGGCGCCGAGTTCACGGAGGACGAGGAGCCTGAGTAGCCGGAGCCGGCAGGGGAGGAGCCCGCCGAGGGCGCACCCGCGGCCGATGGTATCGCTGCGGGCTCGTAATACTCTGTTGTAAGAGTCCTCTCGTCCAGTATGTGCTCCGCGTTGTGCGCCTTCGAAGCAGACTTAATGTCCATGAAAGCAACTGTGGCGCAAAAACCGGAAATAGTCGTTCCGTTTGCACCTGCGGTCGCGTTTTCCATTCTACCCAATAACTTGACATTTTGGACTCGGCCATAGCTGTAAAGAAATAAACTGAGTTTTATAATACAAATAATTAAAATATAGGATAGTATAAAAGGCAAATGAAATACATAAAAGAGGGGAAAATATAAGAAAGATTAAAAAATAAGTGCTACTAGACAAAACATGACGTCTAATGAAATTTAAAAAAAACTTTAGACAAAAAATCTAATAATTTAACTAAATAAAAGGGCAACTCAGTTTATTTGTTATGTTATTTTCATATGCAACAAAATTATTCCGATGGTATTGTTATACAGGGTTTGTATTTTTCGGTGACGCGTAATTTTATTCTTTTGATATTACTTAAAGCACATACAGGCCGGAATTACACAGTTCAAAGGGCAATTATTATCTACAATTAATTATCCTTACAATGAGCCCTTTTTATAAACATTCATACTGAACACAAATAAGAGCGTAATTAGTGACATATACATTTTAATTTATGCTTTTTAAGAATAAAAAGATACATTTATTATATAAATCAAATAAATATTATAAATGCGAAAGTTACGATGGATGGATGATGTTTGTTAGCGTTTGTAGCCTAAACGGCTGAACGGATCTCTATGAAATTTAGAACAGATTTCAAGCATAGTCCGAAAGAACACATAGGCTACTTTTTATCCCGGGAATAGTTACGGTTCCGGTGGGATTCATTACTTTGGTTTTTTTATGTTAACTCATTCATTCTGCAACAGTTCAACATATCTTATTAAAATTTGGCACAGATATAAAACAAAGTCTAGAGTACACATTGAATAAGGTTTATTCCCGAGAAATGGCCGGTTCCCGAGGGTTACTTAGCTTTTAGTTTTTATATATTATAGTTCGTATGTTTTCTAATACCACGCGGACGAAGTCGCGGGTAACGGCTAGTTTAAAATATTTAAAAAGCTACAATCATTTCTTACATCATTGTATGTAGGTCTTGTATTAAAACCTACGTAACCGAAGAAAGCAAACTAAGCCATTGTATTTGTCTGTCAGGGGTCTCGAAGGTAAACTCCAAAACTACGCGAGTATTTGACTACAGATATTAATAAAAAATGGCATCCACGTGCAACCACTACCATTCAAATAAAAAAAAATACATACAAATTGATAACCTTTTTATTTGGGAAAGTTAGGTTAAAAACCAATCATCATATAACACTCTAAGGATAATGCAACTACCAAACTAATAACACAATATTATATTTATTCAAAATAGCTTTCGCCCGCGACTCCGTCCACGTGAATTACATAAAAAAAACTAAACTAAATAGCCTATGCGGTCTTCCAGACTATTCTCTACATTTACACCAAATTTCATCGAAATCTATTCAGCCATTTAGGCTACCATACAAACTATAACAAACATCCATCTTTCCATCTAAACAATCGCATTTATAACATTAGTATTAGTATGAACCATGATATAAAGAGATGTCATTTCAATAATATACGAGGGTGAATGAAAAAGTTCTTAGAAGTGCATATATATGAAACCTTTTTGGATCAAGTTCGATATTCAAATTAAAGAGTGTCTATCACACTATATTTATGCACACTGTCACTTGTTTTTGTCAGTTCGTTCGCATGTAATAAATTTTTTTGTGCAACGAGTTGCTAAAAAGTCAAAATTATGGATAAAAGTGAGTTACGTGCGGTGATAAAATATCTCAGTTTGAAAAAAATGTCTACGAAGGAAATTTTTTTGGATATTCAGCAGACATTAGGGGGTGATGCTGTACCCTATTCTACGGTTGCGTACTGGGTGGCTGAATTTAAAAGTGGTAGATCAAGCTGTAAAGATGACCCGCGTTCTTTGCGGCCTTCAACCTCCGTTACAGAAGAAAATGTCAAAAAGGTTGAAAATCTGGTTTTGGAAGACAGAAGAATGACTATAAAACATATAGCTAAGATCCTAAAGATATCTTTTGGTAGCGTTCAATCCATTTTAATTGATTCACTGGGGTTCAAAATAGTGTCTGCAAGATGGGTGCCACGAATGTTAACCGACGAAAACAAAAAGCGACGTTTGGAAATTTCCAAGCGTAATCTCGAAATGTTCCAGCGTGATTTGGATAATTTTTGCCGTCGTCTTGTCACCATGGATGAAACGTGGGTCCACCATTTTGATCCTGAAACTAAAACACAAAGCATGTCTTGGAAACGGCCATCCTCTCCATCCATCAAGAAATTTCGAGTTGCTCCTACCGCTGGCAAAGTTATGGCCTCTGTGTTCTGGGATAGTGAAGGAATCCTTTTTATTGATTACATTGCCAAAAGGCCAGACGATTACTGGACCCTATTATGCAAATTTAATCCCGAAAGTGCGTGAAGCGATTAAAGAAAAACGTCGTGGAAAACTGTCGTTGGGCGTGTTGTTCCTTCAAGATAACGCTCCTGCTCATCGATCGGAAGTTGCGCTCAACGCAATCCGCTGTGCTGGCTTCAATCTCCTTGACCACCCACCATATTCTCCGGACTTAGCCCCAAGTGATTTTCACTTATTTCCAAAATTAAAAGAGGAAATTCGTGGAACAAAATTTCACGATAATGACGCGGTTATAGCTGCCGTAGTGGACTTTTTCGAGAGTCAAGAAAATATTTTTTTTTTCACAAGGAATAAGGAAGTTAGAAACGCATTATTCTAAATGCATTGCATTGGAGGAAGATTACGTAGAAAAATAAAATATTATTATTTAAATCTTTGCATTTTTTAATATTGATTCCAAGAATTTTTTGATTCACCCCTCGTAAACAAACAGTTTTTGTAATAAAATTGTATTACAGTACAAAAACAACTATCACCGAATTTCGAACTATGTCATATTCCATTATTTAAACGACCAGAAGAGAAGCACCGATGAAACAATAGGGAATATGCATGATTTTTTTTTCTTTTTTTAAACGATTCTACTTATTATAAGATAACCATAAAAAAATTGACGCGAAAATATTCAGGCATTGAGCTAAAAATAATAAAATAAGATTACGACCTTTTTCGAGCGACTAAAACGCGACCTGAGTTGTCATGAGACGATTGCCGTCAATCGTCTATTCCATTCATAACATACGCTTAGATGTCACTTTGACGTAAAACACAACAGAGTTTCTCAAGGTTACAAAGTCAAAAATTGATTCATTTTTATTATTCTTGGTACAAATAAGTGGTAATTAAAAATTCTATTCATTATGTTTTTATTTTAAAGTTGGTTTTGATATTGTGTTTACAGTAAAATACTTTAAGAGTGTATTTCTATATAAACTAACGTAAATGAACTGTGTATTGACAACACAGCGACGCCATATTAGATAAGCCACTTGCTTCGACCAATAGTGTGCGTTTTAGAACTTAGCGAGGGAATTTGAAAAAAGACACTTTATAATTATTAAATTTTGCCACTAAATCACATCACTCATATTTAAACAAATCTTTGCAGGACTGTTTTTAAAGTAATAAAGTATAAAAGTTTGGTACAATTTGGCGTCATATGCGAATTGCCTATTGTAGTAATGCTGCACTCAATTCTATAGCTTAGAGAAATCAGCTCTCAGATATTTAACGGTTCATTCCAGTGTCTTAACAACAATTAGTCTGGTTAAACAACAGTTAGCATAATTCCCGGTGTGTTCAATGTTTGCTTATGATAAAACTGTTTAGATAGGTTTGCTTGCTAAATTTATCATTCCCATGAAATTCGAGTTACGTCTCTCAGAATTTGATTCCCAATGTAAGTTCATTTCAGATTTGTTGCATAAACAATACATCTCGTATTGATCCGACGTTGCATTTAGGTAAAAAACTAGAAGAGCGTCAATATCTATACATTTTGTTGAAGGGATATTGTAAAATCTCACGTTATATAGTTAAGAAAAAGTTTTATATCGGATACGTTTTTAATTCTGGCAAAAATGCAAAGTAAGTGCCTTTTTCTTTTGACTCTAGATTGGGACTGTTTCTTAGACTTTGGATCGATTTCTTCTTAGCATGACCAATATTAAGTGTAACACGAAACAAGTTGCTGGTAAATATTATTGGAAATACCTTTATATTATGGTTGCACAACAGATTTCTTTAATAGCTTTTATACCCTATAATTATGTACAAATGCAAATTAGACAAATTATTCATTTATAAATGTATTGTTATGATGTAATTTTATAATTGTTATGTACCTTTGTTAAAAACATTTTGCGACTTACTGTACTTTTGAAGGTCGCAGTTAATTTCACAATAAAACAGCTCGTCACTAGTACAGAACTATCAGAATAATATTTAAAATAAATAACTACATGATTACACTTAACATATTCATAAAACGAGTCAAGCGAGTGGCCGGTCTGCCGCGCCGATCGCACCGCGTTTCCATGACGCGGCGAAACAACAAAAAAATGCGACGTTGTCGCTCTTGCGATGCGATGGAACAACGCGCGCTGTTGCCGCTTCGCTCGTTTCTTTCGACGTACCTAACAGCCGGTGTTTATCTTTATACAGCGGACATTATATCTACCTTTTGAATCTCGTTCATTATTTATCCTTTTACGGCATTAGTATTGCTATACTATATGCAGATGGATTGTTGGAAAACTTTATTTTATAGAAGAATCTAGCAACTAAGCCTTAACATATTACTAGAAATCACTTAAGAAACCGCTGCAGTCCAGACAACAAATAATGCTAATAAATCGCAGATTCCTTTGTCTTTTGTTTTAAAATAGAAGGGGATAAAAAGAAAAAATTAAATTTCTTTAGCCCATTCATCCAGAACCACCAACAATCACTTCCACAGGTTTCCTTATCAGTAAAGGCAGAGAATATTTTTAAGGTCGTAATTATATTATAGCATTTTTAACGGTGCAACGAGACCCATATGAACTGTTAAATAGGCCGTTTGCCTTTTAACATTTTTTAATCTTGTATAATGTTTAAATTACTATCTCAACTAAAAGTTGCTGGACCAAGCCAAGGCCCACAAAGGGCTATAGAGCTATTGAAAAAGAAG